TTGGAAAGACATAGACAAAAGATAGGCTACTTTGGTAAGGTTCTGCTTGCATGGAGTATAGTTACCAGGAGAGATAAGACCATCAAATAAACACTTCTACATGCAGTTTTACAACCCAAGATAAATGTTATAAAGGTAAAGGACAGGAAACAGGATAAAATCAGTTTTATTTATAGCTGTGTTAAATGATATTCTGGGGCCTGGCATGGTGGCCTAGCGGCTAAAGTCCTCACCTTGAACACACCAGGATCCCATATGGGCACTGGTTCTAATCCTGGCTGCTCTACTTCCCATCCAGCTCCCTGCTTGTGGCCTGGGAAAGCAGTCGAGGACGACCTAAAGCCTTGGGACCCTGCACCTGCGTGGGAGACCTGGAGGAGGTTCCTGGCTCCTGGCTCTGGATTGGCACAGCACCGGCTGTTGCGCTCACTTGGGGAGTGAATCCTAGGACGGAAGATCTTTCTATCTCTCCTCCTCTCTGTCTCTCCTCCTCTCTGTATCTCTGACTTTGCAATAAAAATAAATAAATCTCTTTAAAAATGACATAGCTGTAATATTTTTAAATTAAGTTCCTTGTGGGGAAGCACTGGGGTATAGCAGGTAAAGCTTCTGCCTGTACCGTGGGCTTCCCATATGTACAGTGGTTTGAGTCCCACCTGCTCCACTTGCAATTCAGCTCCCTATTAATGCACCTAGGAAAGCAAAAAGATAGCCCAAGTGTTCAGCCCCTGCACATGCAGGAGATCTAGTCATGGCTGTTGTGACCATTAGGGAGTAAATCCTCCCTTCTATTCATCCCCCCCCCCGTAATTATGCTTTTCAAATACATAAATAAATAAATTTTCTTAGTAAGGCTTGCGAGAAAGGCCCTAAACACACTCTAGGATTGAATAATGATAAAAATTCTGACAGTGGTAGTTTGAGTAACAAAAACCACAGCTGCCCAATGTCTTTAAAAACCAGTTTGTGGGGTCTGGCTCAGTAGCCTGGCAGCTGAAGTCCTTGCCTTTCATGCGCCGTGATCCTATATAGGCGCCAGTTTGTATCCTGGCCACCTCCCTTCCCCCCAGCGCCCTGCTTGTGGCCTGGGAAGGCAATAGATGTTGTTCCAAAGCCTTGGGATCCTGTACCCAAGTGCAAGACCTGGATGAAGCTCCTGGATTCTAACCTCAGGTTGCCTATGACACTGGCATCCCATATGGGCATTTGTGCCAATCTCAGCTGCCCCACTTCCAATCTGGCTCTTTGCTAATATGTCTTTACTTTGATTGTCTCTACACTAACTCTATGACAGGGTTACAGATTTACAACATCCCACTGAGAACAAAAACAGATACAAAACCAATGAAAGACAGGCTGACCACCATCTTTCCAAGCTGACATGGCAGTGAACTGTGAGGTAGCCACCATGGACTCAGCAGAGACACAGGCTCCACCCCCCCCCCCAATCCATCCACCTCTCCACACAGTGTCCCATGAGGAACACTAATGACAGGCCTAATGACCTGTTCCATGAAGCGTAACTGCCAATCTACCAAAGAGCCAGCTAAATCGGGTCATAAAAGAGAAGCAAATTTAACACCCAGAGAAGTACCTATTTAAAAGCTTTAGCTGATTATTGTAATGGGGGAAACTATATTAGGTCTACTGTTCCTTAAAATATGACAATAACAACATTTTATTTTTCTAATATTGCTTAACCAGTGACACCAAGCTGAGAACTCTGGTCTCAACCCTACACACTTCCTATGTGATGTTGTCTCATTTGTCAACCTCACCACGTCTTCCATGCCAGCAGTTCCCAACTCCTGCCTGCAGTCCCCACACCCTGCTCCACACTTTCCTGGAAATTCTTCTCTGGGTGACTTACCAGCTCCTCCCAACCTGAACTCTTTAAACATGAACCTCCTGCTGTGCTCCTCCAATCCTTTTTATGGCACAATATCCAGTCCCCAGAGTTCTTTCCTCGTTCATTCCCCAGTATTTTTAATGCCACAATGAGCCAGGCATTAGGCCAGGAGCTGGGGCACACAGGAGTAATCCAAACAGACGAGGTCCATGGAGTGGACAGTCTCCACTTCTTGCCACACCTGTGGCTGAACACCAAGGACTGCTTTAACACGGGAACATGGAGCTCTGCGATCCTTCACGGTGGCAAGTGGTGAAGAGACTCTACTTTGCCTTTCATTCACAAGGTAAACCACACCAGTCCCTGACACATGGGAAAGTGGCTACCTCTAGAGAGAGCTGTGTGACAGATTTTGACTTCACCTGTGGTCCCAAGAAGACAGTGAGTTGCTATTATGATGAGAAACAATTTTCAGTGGGCAAACCTATTTGACTGGAGGCACTTCCCACCTATGGTATGGTTGTAAGTGCTCTGCTCCTAGGGGTTGGTGCTGTGATGTAGGAAGTGAAGTTATCACCTGCAGCATCCCACACGGGCATTAGTCAAGTTCCAGTTGCTTCACTTTTGATCCAGTTCCATGCTAATGTGCCTGGGAATGCAATGGAGGATGAACGCTGCAATCATGTGGAAAACCCAGAAAAAGCTCTTGGCCCTAATCTGGCCATTGCAGCCATTTAGCATGTGAATCAGTGCATGGAAGACCTCTGTGTCTCTACCTCTCTCTTTATAACTCTGCCTTTCAAATAACTAATAAATCTTGGGCCCGGCACAGTGGCCTAGCAGCAAAGTCATTGCCCTGAACGTGCTGGGATCCCATATGGGCGCCAGTTCTAATCCCGGCGGCTCCACTTCCCATCCAGCTCCCTGCTTGTGGCCTGGGAAAGCAGTTGAGGACAGCCCAATGCTTTGGGATCCTGCACCTGTGTGGGAGACCTGGAGGAAGTTCCTGGCTCCTGGCTCCGGACTGGCACAGCACCGGCCGTTATGCTCACTTGGGGAGTGAATTAGTGAATGGAAGATATTCCTCTCTGTCTCTCCTCCTCTCTATATATCTGACTTTGTAATAAAAATAAAATAAATCTTAAAAAAAAGAAGGTTCTTGATTTAAAAACAAAAACCCCAAATAACTAATAAATCTTTACCAAAGAAAATAAAAAGTCATTTCTTAGCAGAATAAGACACCTTGTTTCTGTTTTTAAGAATTATTTACTGGGGCCTGGAGCTGTACCCTAGTGGCTAAAGTCCTCACCTTACATGTGCCAGTTCGTCCCGGCTGCAGGCAGCTGGGACACAAGCTGGCACCCATATAGAATTCTCGCACTTGCAAGGCAAAGACTTAGCCACTGCTTATTTACGTCTTTTTTTTTAAGACTTATTTATTTTTTAATTTTTATTTTTGAAATTTATTGTACAATATATACAATGCATATATAATGTATAGTCTGGGATTCCCCTTCCCCTGATTTCCATCCCCCAACTGATTTTTCCCATAATGTCACAACTCTTCATAAGGAGTTACAATTCCAACAGTGTGTTATTTAAGTGTGCCCCAACATTGCTGGTACAGACAATGTCAGACAGTCTATTATCCATTCCATTGTCTAGATATATCCAACACTTTCAGCAGGAGTCCATCTTTTGTTTGGAAGTACAGACGCATGCTGCATTGTATCTTCAGATCTGGATATGATACTCTCCATTACTCCACCACTATACATTCCAATCTGCATGATCGATTCCTTACATTACAGAGAACATATGGTATTTCTCTTTCTCTGATTTATTTCACTGAGCATAATGGTCTCTAGTTGGGACCATCTAGTTCCAAATTGCATAATTTCCTTCTTTTTAATGGCTGAATAATATTCCATGGAGTAGAGTACCACAGTTTCTTTAGCCACTCCTCTTTGGATCGGCACCTGGCATCTTTCCATGTCTTTGCTATTGTAGATTTTGCTGCTATAATCATAGGGTTACAGATCCCCTTCTCATATATGTAGTTTTAATTTCTTTTGGGCATATTCCTAAGAGTGGGACAGCTGGGTCTATTTACTTATTTTAAAAGTAGAATAACACAAAGAATAAGAAGGAAAGATTAAGAGGAGAGGAGAGGAGGGGGGGGAGAGGAAAGGAAGGGAGGGGAGCGGAAGGGAAGAAGAGGAAAAGAGGGGAGGGGAAGGAAGAGGAGGAGAGCGGAGGGGAGGGGAGCAGAGGGAACAGAAGCAGAGGACAGGGGAGGGGAGCGGAGGGGAGTGGAGCAAAGTGAAATCTCCCATCCATTGGGTTAGTCTCCAAATAGTTCAACAACCAGAGCTAAATGAGGCCAACGTTGGGTCAAGAACCTCATCCAGTTTGCCTACATGGGTGCCAAGGGACCCAAGCACTTGAGCTTACCTAGGTGCATCAGCAGGAAGCTCTATTGGAAGCAGAACAGCTGGGGCTCTGATAAACTGATATTGAATGCCAGCACCACAAATGGCACCTTAAAGTTCAGCACTATGTTGAACCCAGCAAAAAACACTCTGGGTCACCTATTTACCTTCCTCCTGGATTTAAGGCAAGATATTTGTTCATTTTTTTTTCTTTAAAGAAACAAGGGAGACAGTGAGGGAGAGTGGGGATCCACTCACTGGTTCACTTCCCAAATGCCTGCAACAGCCAGGGCTGGGGGAGGGCCAAAGTCAGATACCCTGACCTGGGTACGCGGGCATCCTAACCAGCATCTAATCCCTAGGTGAAATATCTGCCCAGGGTATGGTATTCTGAGGGTGCCCATCAGTATTCTCTAATTCTCTGTCACATGGCCTTTGGGCACTACTGGAGAGGTTAAACACCTCCCCAGGAACTGGTTTTGTCTAGAGTCTTCCATCTGCATACCTTCTTTCTGCAAACAAGTACACAGAAAACTGCTTACCATTAGGGCTATATACCACACCACCAGCTGTGACTTAGCAATCTTCTGGTTGCTAAATGTGTCATGTAAAATGATCTGGTCTCAGCACAGCCTTTGCCACACTACGCTTTTGCTTTCACTAATGTGCAACAGGGAAATCTGCTACAACATAAAGAACTCACACTTCAAAATATTTTTGAAACAGTCCTATATTGTTGATTTTTGGAATCATTCTTTGTCACTCTTACCAGAAACTGGTTCACTTTCATAGGAGAAGTAGAAATCATTCACTTCCACTTAGTACTCTATAGAATGAAACTGCCACAAATCACAGGAATATTACAAGTGAATAATTACTGAAAACATTTTATATTCATGCCTCAAGCTGTCTCCCAAAGATCTGTTTCTGTGTGTGTAACTACAATCATCTAAACACCACAAAGTTGGTCTCATCACAGATGCAAAAGTTAAAAACCAGCTACCTTGTCCATCAGAGACAGTTCCAGAACAAAGAGACTGTACAATCACATCCATATTATGGGACTGCACTAAGTTAAAACCCTTTTCTCTCATTTCAGGAGTATTTACATAAAACTAAGACATGTACAAATGGCTCACAGTTTTAATCACCTAAACATGAAATTTCTCTATCTTCTGTGGAAGTTAAACACTGATAAGTTTCTCTAATAAATTCAGCTTCTCTAATAAATTCAGTGCATTTTCTAACATAAATAATAAAGGTCACTCTTTCACATTTCATTCAATGTGTATTTCAGACTTTATTAAAGGAGAAAGCTATTTTAGGTGGCTATGTCACAGTATTTGAGCATATTATGGAATCTATATTACACAATTAAATTCATACCAATACTATTATTCTAAGAAAACCCACAGGCACACACAAAACAAAATTTGCTTTTTTATATATAAATTTAAAGTACACTATCCACTTTAAACCACACTAAAAGGTGTATTTTAATAAAACAACCAATTTCTAAACCTTTTAAAGTTTCAAATAAGCCAAGTTCAATCCACTCGAATCTTCTGGTTTGTCATCCTATAAATGATGCTATCATATCCAGGATCCATGTTCCACATATTGTAAGAGGTGACAATCACAGCCAAGGCCAAGGCGATCATGATCCAAAGTATCATGTTGAAAACCACTGGATATTCAAAATTATATTTATATGCAAGGTTGTAGGGAGTTGCTGGGTTCTCTTGTCTTGTCTCCAGGATTGCTCTTGTCTTCCTCACAAGGGCTGTGTCAAATGATTTGACCGTCACTAACTCTACCACAGCATTCCCACCATAAAGATTATACATATCATCTGCAAACTTCTGCAGTGTGTCCACAAGGATCCTGGAAGCGTCTTGGAATTGCTCAGAGTCTTCCCCATAATGTTTCCCAACTTCAGCCAAACCTGCCAGTTCCAGGGAATACAAATCCGGAGAAGGATCCTTGGCTAGATGCTGCTGCTGAGACAACAGACTTGAAATGTCATGCAACATTTGCAGTTCAGAAAGAAAGAGTAGGTCAACTTCATTGTTCCTACTCAGAGAATTGAGGGGAAGAGAACTGAGGATGGAGTTATTGTGTAACAGGCGATTGTGGAGCTGTCCCAACGTTACTGAGAGGTCTTCAAACACTGAGTTTGCCTTCCCCACCATATACACTCTTTCTTCACTGGGAGCCAACTCCAAAACTATAGGAGTTTCTTCTGAAAACAAAGAATGAATGGAATCTGCAAGACTGTCAAGACTAAAAGGTACTGCATTCTCCAATGGGTATGAGATAGCACTGTCCAGAGGCAGAGCAAGTTTGTTCACTCCTTTCACCGTCACTATAACAGTAGCCTGAGGCCGGTGGAACAGGCTACCCACTGCCAGTCCCGGCCAAGAAAGGTCGTCTTCTACAGAGAAGCCCATGGACAGTGCAGCCACATCTGGGATTCGCTCTCCTGGTATCGGCCAGCCTCCGTTGCGGAAAACAACAGACTCTGGTGATCTTAAGACACTAAACTCATTCCCCACGACACCTGCGACCAGCATGGACAGGAGCACGATGAGCACAGTCATGGTGCTGCGGCAGCTGCAGCGGTGCAGAGCAACACAGCAAGCCCACGAGACACGAGTGACCACTGCTGCATGAAGGGGTGACACGCTCCAGTTCGTTCCAACTCTCAGAGCCAGTCCCTTCGTCGCTTCCACGGGGACAGCTCTCCTATATAATTTAGAAATTACTTAAATTTATTTAAATGTTCTTTGGAGACAGACAGGTGGCATAGCACGATAAGCTACTATTAGGGGCAGCCACATTCCACATAAGAGTAAATGTTTAAGCCCCAGTTACCCCACTTCCAATCCAGATTCCTGTTAATACACATCTTGGGAGGCAGAAGGTGTGAGCTCAAGTGCTTGGGTCCCTGCCACCCATGTGGAAGACCCAGCTAAATTCTGAACACCTGGCTTCTACCTGATCCAGCTGCAGCTGTTGCAGGAATTTGGGTAGTGAACTAGCAGATGGAAGATCTCTCCCTTTGCCTTTTATATAATCTAAGATAAATTAAAAAACAAAAAAATTCTTTGACTAACAATATAAGAATTTAAGCACTGAAGGAAGGAGAAACAAAAAATCATAACTGAAATTAACATGACCAGGAGCAAGCCCAGGGATAGGGAACCAAAATGGCCATTTAATTATGATGGGGAGTGGGGGTGCGATATCTCAGTGGCTAAATCATCACCTCACAAGTACCAGGATCCCAATGGGTGCCAGTTCTAATCCTGGCCACTCCTGTTCCCATCCAGCTCCCTGCTTGTGGCCTGGGAAAGCAATAGAGGATGGCCCAAAACCTTTGGGCCCTGTATCCTAGTTCCTGGCTCTTGGCTTCAGATTGGCTCAGCTCTGGCTGCTGCAGCAGCTTGGCGAATGAACCAGTGGAAGGAGGATTTTTCTCTGTTTCTCGTTTCTGTAAATCAGCCTTTGTAATAACAACAACTAAATCTTTAATGAATAAGTAAGATTTAGGGGCAGGCATGTAGTGTAGCACAACTAAGATGCCAATTAGCATACCTGCATCCCACACTGGAGCATCTGCATTCAATCCTTGGCTTCAGCTTCTGAGTCCAGGTTCCTAGTAACTCAGACCCTTGGAGACAGTGGTGATGGCTCACATAGTTGGGGCCCTGAAATCCATATGTGGATCTAGATTGAGTTCCCAGCTTGCAGGCATTAGGGGAGTGAAATCAGAGAATGGGAGTGCTTTTTCTTGCAAATAACTCTTAAAGTGAAGTATACTGACTTATTCTGAACACACCAACAGATAGGGAAGGCTATATAAAATTATTTTCCCCAATGCTCCAAAACAGAAGTTGGGTTCCCTGACACCTTAGTTTGTAGAACGGTCAAGAATTAACAAGAGGTATGACTGTTCTAGCATCCTCCCACTCCCTGACAATCAGAAGATGCCAGACCGGAAAACATCACCTCACATGCTCCCAGAGCCACTGCAGAGGAGCACCCACAGGGATGAAACATGGCCTGGCAAGAGGCACCATAGCTTGCAGAAGCCACTTACACATGAAACATCCTATATTTATTTCAATATACTCTGAGATGCTATCTACTAACCAGCACCAAAGGGACTCTCAGGATCAAAACCACCTGTTGGCAAAAGGTACTGACTCAACAATTAAGTCACTACCTGCTTCCCATTTCAGACTCCCTGGTTCTAATTCTGCCTCCACTTCTGATCCAGCTTCCAGCTAATGTAGCAGGTTATACCTCCAGTATTTTAAGATCTCAATTGAGTTCTAAACTCCTGGCTTTGGTTTGTCCTAGCCCTGGATGTTACGGGCATCTGAGGAGTGAACTAGTATATGGAAGATCTCTATCCTCGTCTCCTTCTGCTTTTCAAATAAAATGAGAACAAACAGAAGTTTACAAAAAATGCCATAAAGCACCAAACAAAATGCAGTTTCTTAAGCAGCATAAAATATGTAAGTCACCTTTTAATTATACACTTAGAAATTCATTATCCAGGTAACTTTATTTCTGCGTGCTTCTCTGTACCTGAGACAGGAAACACTGGTGCTACATAGTCCCTGCCATAGTTTTCCCCACTAACAAACCAAGTCTACTAGACTAAGAAAAGGTGAACTGAAAATCCTCAAAAAGAAGGATTCAACATCACTTCAATATCACTTATTACCAGCGAGAAACTTCTAAAGGTGTTTATTTTTACAATATCCACACATTATAGAAAAAGTATTTTTAAAATTTTTAGTTTTGCTTTTACATTTATTTGATATTTGTGACAAAATTTTATACACAATTTTGTATGCTGAGTTAACACTCCCCACCCCCTTATTTTTTTAAAGGAAGATTTATGAATCTGGCACAATGGCTCCACGACCACCACGTCACCTTGCAAGCACCAGGATCCTACATGAGCACTGATTCAGGTCCCAGCTGCTCCACTGCTTGTGGACAGAAAAAGCAGCTGAGGATGGCCCAAACCCTTGGGACCCTGAACCCATATGGGAGGCCTGGAAGAAGCTCCTGGCTCTTGGCTTTGGATTGGCTCAGCTTTGGCCACTGCAGGCCATTTGAGCAGTGAATCAGCACATGGGAAATCCTTGTTTCTCACTCTCTATAAATCTGATCTTCCTTTCCAATAAAAATAAATAATTCTTAAAAAGGTATATATATATACATATATATATATATGAACATCTGTCGCCATCTTTTCATTTTTCTAAGATTACATGCTTATATTCTTTTTACTTTGTTTTCTGTTGTAAATTATACAGGCTAAGAAATCATAGTCAGGGCCAGCATTGAGGCGTAATGAATAAAGCAATGCCAGTATCCCACATGGGTGCCAGCTCATATTCCAGCTCCTCCACTTCTAATCCAACTCCATGTTAATGGCCTAGGAAAGCAATGGAATGATGACACAAATGCTTGGGTCCCTGACACCCAGATAAGGCTCCTGGGTTTGGCCTGGCTCAGTCCTGGCTGTTGTGGCCATCTGGGGAGTGAAACCGTGGATAAAAGTTCTTTCTCTTTCCCTTTGAAAAAAAAAAAAAAGATTCAGAAAACTATGATTTCCCCAAGGTATCATCTAAGTAAACTATGTGGGAAAAAAAAAAATAAAAGTTTTTGAGTTTAAAGTGATACAGTAATGCCAAGTAGAAATGTTTTGGATTTCTCTATTTTTACAGTTATCTATGCTTATGAGAAATTGAACACTGCCAGTCTGAAAGTAGCACAGCTGTATTAGCCCAGGAAAGAAGACTGCATTCAGTACTCAGCTCCATTTTTTCAAAGCCTTTACTCCTTTTTATTTTTTAAAGATTTATTTTATTTTCATTGGAAAGGCAGATATACAGAGAGGAGGAGAGACAGAGAGGAAGATCTTCCGTCCGATGATTCACTCCCCAAGTGAGCACAATGGCCGGTGCTGTGCCAATCCGAAGCCAGGAGCCTCTTCCGGGTCTCCCACGTGGGTGCAGGGTCCCAAAGCTTTGGGCCATCCTCGACTGCTTTCCCAGGCCACAGGCAGGGAGCTGGAAGGGAAGCGGGGCTTCCGGGATTAGAACCGGCGCCCATATGGGATCCCGGGTGTGCAAGGCGAGGACCTTAACCACTTGCGCCATTGTGCCGGGCCCCAAAGCCTTTACTCTTAATCCTTCACTATAGAGCACAAAACTCAGACAAACAGTTTTTGGGAACAGCTCTGATAGGTGGCGTGGCAGAATGAGCTAGCCTCCCAACAATCCCAAGACTAGCCTGTGTCTCAAACAGGATGCATGTTAGCAATGGCTACACTTAGAACCAACAGTATTTAGGACAGAACTAAACACTACCAAGCCACACTGAGAACCAACAGAGCAGGAACTAAACAACTAATGCTTGGGGCTATGGTGGCAAAGCCAGTTAAGCTGCAGTTTGGAATGCCTGCATCCTATACTGGAGTGCCAGTTCAAGTCCTGTTTCCTCTACTTCTGATCCAGCTTCCTCTTAATGAGCCTGCCTCCCTGGGAAGGCAGTGCTTGATTTAAAAAAAAAAAAAGTGCTTGGTTTTTGCTCTCCATACAGGTGACCTGGATACAGGCTTTGGCCTGGCCCAGCTCTGGCTGTTATAGCTATTTGGGAATACAAGGTCTATTCTCCCTTTTTCTGTCACTCTGCCTTTTAAACAAATAAATCTTAAAAAGAGGACAAGTGCTTAAAGGCAAGGTTCAAGTATATTTAGACAGAAGCCTTTATGTCTTTCTTCTTAATGTTGAATCCTTATTTTCTAATTGTTTAGTCTCATCATCATGAGACAGAAATTTTTCATTTCCTTTGTCTGGAAGAGAAGATACTTCAGTGAGCTCATTCTTGACCTAATCCTAATCCATAAGCGGGCCGTCAGAGTGTGGGGAAGTCTTATCACTTGCAGGTCTGTCTCAGCATCCTATTCTGTGAACTTAAGTGTACTTCAGGTAGTTCTCATTTTCACTTTTTAAAACCCCGACTTCTAATTTTTAAGTAATCTGGACATTTAAACTCAAGTTTACTAGATACCTATTTTGTTTAAAAAAGTATCAGCTTTGTGCGTCAGAAAAATATTTCATTCTATATTTTATAGATTTATTTAGTTATTTGGAATTCAGGTTACAGAAATAGGAGAGACAGAGAGCAAGACAGAGAATGTTCCACCTGCTGGTTCACTCCCCAAATGGCCATGATGGCCAGAGCTGATACTCGATGAATACAGGAGTCAGGAGCTTCATCTGGTATAGGTGCGGGGTGCCAAGAACTTGGGCCATCCTCTTCTGCTCTCCCAGGTGCATTAGGAGGGAGCTGGACTGGAACTGGAACAGTCAGGACTCAAACAAGCACCCAAATGGGATGCTGGTGTAATAGCTCAATCTGCTAGCTCATAATGCCAACCCCTCTATTATATATCATATACAAATTCTCACACACAACAAACTTCCCATTGACTTTTTTTCTAGGAGAAGCAGATTCCCTACTGTAAACACGTACAAATGGGTTCTCAAGCATCAGAAAGATACTTTTTTCTTGCTTCTCAAAGTTAGTAGTCTTCCCAATGTCTCATGCTTTCTAACACTAACCTCTGTGTTTCAGATTCATCAGAAGATAATGCATCCTTATCTAATTTCTTCTCTCATGGTAAAACTACATAATCAGTTCAGTGAAAGCAGATCCTGTGAGCATTACCGGTTTATCTGGTAAAGCTTCCTCATGGCTGACCTTATCAAATACTGTTGAATATTTCATTATAGGACAGATTTGTTATCTTCCACTGACCCAGAAAATGGAGTGGATGTTAAGTAATTATTTGTCAAAGGTTTCACTGACATAGCAACTAAACACTTTGAGAGTTCTCTCTAAGTCCACCTTTCTTCTCTGAGAGTATCTTTCTAGCTGTCCCATCTCACAAAACACAAACAACTCCATGGGACATACTGCTGCCCCATTTAAACAATGTCTTCTGCAACAGCTCAGATTCAGCCTACGTTCAAGGTACCTTCCTGCATCTCATCAAGTTCTATAGACAGCAATTGCTTCCCTGTTCACCGGACCTTGATTTGGGCCTACTTGTCTTACTGCCCTTTAGTTTGACACTAAAGAGGATTTCTACAAAGAATGTGACACTTGTCATAAAGATTTCCTGACAATTTACTTAACGTACTGACATTTCCACCACAGATTACATGACACTTTCGATAACGTCCTATTATGCCCCTTCCAGTATTTACACAAAATGACTTCAGACATGCAAGTCAGTAAAATGTACAGCCGTGGTTATCTTCACTTCTGGGCTGGCAGTGATTTATGAGCCTAAGACTGAGCTATCTTCCCTAGAGTGATGTGACTTATTCACATGATCATACTTTCACTCTTCTCTATTCCTCTGTAGCAGGAAGAAAAATATCCTGTTGCCAAATTAATTATACCCTGAAAATGAGTCCCATCAAGCCCACAACTTGACTCATAGGTTCTAATACTGCTATAGAAATCAAACTAAATCTGAATTTTCCTAGAAAATCAAAATAGCCATAGATCAGTCACTCTCCAGAGGCAATGAGACAACCAGGTGAGAAGAGAATGTCTCCCACAACAGGATCTACATCTGTAACAGGCTTGCTGAAAAGGGCCACCAGAGTCCAGCCAGATTCTCCCAGCTTAAAAGCAGGCTGAGTTTTCCAGGCTTCCCTAAAATGAATGGCCTTCAAACTCTTCTGTTTTCCGGTGTAGCTTTTCAGAAGGAAATGACTTTATCAAGACTGAATCTAGCTTTCCTGCCTCAAAGACAACCATCTCTTCTAACTCCCAGCACTTTAAGCATCTCCCCTTTCGGGTTGTAAGCGCTGAAAGACCACACTCGGCTTCTGGGGGCTGTCCTTGTGCCCCTTCACAGATGATCCCACAGGGAGGGCTGGCCCTGGCTGTGGCCTTTCTGAGGAGGGCACTACCTTCTATCCTAACTGGCAGGATACTCAGAACAATGAGCATCCACACACGGGTTTCTAACCTTTCTGGCACCACCCAATGCTGCGGTAAACTTGGCTAGTCTCTCCCCTTTTTCCCACCCTGCCATAGTTGGAGGGTCGGTGACCCCCTCATCTCCTGGGCCCCCTCCTCCCTTCTCATTCAAAATGGATTAAGGCCTCGAAGAGTATACCTTTCCTCACCTTTTGTCTCCAGTCCACCTGCTGCCTCTCTCAGCTTCAAAATCAGGCAAGGACCACGGAAACGCGCCACGAGGGCACTTAGAGGCCGGCAGAGGCGACCGCCCACCTGTCACTTGAACATCAGCGTCTCACACAAAGATGCACCCCCTCACACTCCCGTCTCATCCTGAGGTTGGACCCGCTACCGTACGAGCCCTTTGTTTGAGGCTTCCGCATCTTCGACATCTTCCTCCACACACAGGTAGGGTGTCTGTTCCGTACCGGGCGGGGGAACCTAGGCTGCCCTGTTTCTACAGGGAAAAGTTCATGCCCGAGGTCCTCAGGGGATCCGAAATCCTCCAGTTCTCCGAGCAAACGGACAGCTGTTATTTCTGGGACCGGGAGGGAGACTCAAACGGAGCGCGGGCGCCAGCAGTCAGAAAAGTCCCCTCCAGCCTCCCGCCCAACATTTCCACGGCTGCGACCCAGGGTGCCGGCGGCGGCGCAGGAGGCCGAGCCGGCGGCCGCGCCATGCCCTCCTTCGCCCTCACCCGCCGCCTCGGGCGGCCTCTCACCTGGCACGCTGGCATCGCTCACCCTGCGCCGTACGGGAGACCATGGGTCCGGACGGACCTCGGGGACCACCTGTCTGCCTTGAAAGAAGCTGGCAGGATATGCGGGCACCGAGGTCGAGCTCGCCGCCGTCGGGAACACGCCACCTCGTTTCTAAGGAACAGGGGGTTCTGGAAAAGGGAGGGGCGGGCCGGAGGAAGAACTGCGCATGTTCGGTGACAAGGGGCGAGCCCGTGGTGGGAGGGGCCTAGAGCAGGAGTTGCGCATGCTCGCTATTGGGGGCGGAGCCTAATTGGACTTGTTGAGAGGCGTTGGTCCTTGGATTCCGACGACCCTGGCGGTTTTGACTGTGGTGATCCGAGGTTTCTCAGCTACTTATCTGCAGAGTCCACCAACTGGCATCAAGAGAAGCATCTGGGCATTGTGCTTGGCCGTCATCGGCATGTAACGTTAAGCAATGACCTGTTTTTGTAGACCAGTTCTCAGGGCAGGTAACGCCCGCATCCCATATGAGGGTCTGGTGGACTTTGAGCTGCCTCATCTGGGATCCAGTTCCTTGCCAGGCAATTGGGATCCTGGGTGGAGCTCCAAGCACCTGGCTTTGGCCTGGGTCGGCCCTGGCTGTTAGGGACATGCAAACAGTGAGCCATCAGGTGTAAGATCTCTGCTTTTCAAGAAGAGTTCATGAACTCTTATACTTCCAAACTGCTAGCTCTGAATGATTGGCCTGTCTTCTCAGGTTCCTGTGTGGACTCTCTCGCCTCTGAGTCTGCCTTCCCAACAAAAATAAATGCAATTATATTTTAAAAGAAGAGAAAAAAAACTGTGTAGCTTTTTCAAGATTTTTATTGGAAAGGTAGATTTACAGAGGCCAGAGCTAGAGAAAGATCTTCACTCCTGAAGTGGCTGCAATACCCAGAGCTGAGCCGATCTGAAGGCAGGAGCCAGGAGGTTCTCTTCAGGTCTCCCACATGGGTGCAGGGTCCCAAGGCTTTGGGCCGTCCTCCACTGCTTTCCCAGGCCACAAGCAGGGAGCTAGATGGGAAGTGGAGCAGCTGGGACAGGAACCAGCACCCATATGGCATCCTGGTGCTTGGAAGGTGAGGATTTAGCCACTGAGATATTGCACCAGGCCCCATTCTGCCTTTCAATTAAATTTTTACAGTAAACATCTTGCAAACATCTGGCTTTAAGGAGTGTTCCATGAGGAGACCTAAAGGGTCCTACACATTCAAGAGATGAACCAGGGAGCATCCAAATCCTCTAGGACAGGACATGTTGCACAATGCTGCAGAAAAACTCAAAGACCAGACACACAGGACTGCTCATGGATGTGTATTTTAATAAAAATAATTCTGTCAAAATACAACAGGAGTTTTTTTTTTTTCTCATCTCTCAAGTACAACTTTAATAGGATGTTTTATGTTAGAATTCTCTCAACCCTCCCATGCCCACAAATTTCATGCTAATGCCAAGTTATCAACTTGCAAGGACAAAGGCAGAACCAGTGTGCACAATGTGGAAGATGCCTGTTTCAACTGTAGTTATTAATAGAGAAGAAGCCCACGCAAAGAGGTGGGTGCCACAGACAGCCACAGGAACCAGTCTGGCCACATGTCCAGATGCCCGGGACTGGCATTAGGCAGGCCTCTGCTGACCAGCTGCCACACAGCATACATACCTGAGTTGTGAGCAATCAAAGGAACTTTCAGCTCCAACAGTCCTCTGCCTCACCTTTGTGCTTGCTTAAGGGATATGAAGGCGCTGGGTTGCCAGCAAGTCACTACTTCTCTGCCACATGGTGTCCCTGTTCTGACATCTATACCCATCACTAACTGACCCATTTGGGCCAAGAGAAGAGGTTCTGGCTTTGAGTGGTCTGCCAGTTTCCACTTTCAAAGAAACCACATGGTGCCACACAGGGAAGGTGAGTAGGGAAGGCTGCTCCGCAAGGGCTGGATAGTCTAATAGGACCAAGTCTTTCTCAGCTCCCATGGGTCAGATCCAGCCTGGAGGTGGGCAGGTGGGGCCAGGTGTGCATCTGGGGGGCCCCTGGGCTGGCAGGCCAACCAGGCCTAACAGCAAGGCAGCGGGCTCAGCAGCTTGGTGTTGGCCCTCTCCACGGTATGTGAGGCAAAGGCTTATGTCCCCAAGATGAACGGTCCAACTGGGACAGAGAGCCCCTTGGGAGAGGAACAGAGTAAACAACTTGAACTCAGCTGAAACAGTGAGATAAGGCACAGAAAGTGGGGAGGTGGCCACAGGTACCAAGAACGAACCAGGGGGACACTCAATTCCATATAGCACACAAATGTCTTGAGCCCTTCTGGACCCTCTCTCAGCTACTCCATAATCCAAACCCAGGCACCCATCCCCATCCCTAACGAACTCCTAAAGGGATCAGTTACTCAGATGCTGTGAGAGGCTACATCAACTTAAACCCTCCTCTGCCATTCAGCTTCAAGACTAAACAGTGTGCCAAAAGCACAGATACAAAGTTAGTCTTGGCTCTGCCACTAATTTGCTGTGTAACTTTAGCCAAACAATTTCATCTCTGGGGCTTGTTTCCTTACTGTAAAAGGTAAAGATGGATGGAGATGTTTCCAGAACCCCAATGCAGCAGTGAACACCACTGGTTTTAACAGGATTGTTACATGATTAGCGTTTGAACAGCCTAATGTTTCCAACTTCTGGGTATTGGAGCTCAGCCCTGTGAAGAAGAATGCATCTCCTTTATAGACAAACAATAACTCCTGTCAGGCAACATCTGTGGGCTGCCAGGCAGATCCTAGCAGGGACCAAGGAAAAGCAACAGCCTCAGGATCACCTCCCAGGGCAAAACTCAGGATGAGCACAGGCCATTGATCTGGCCCCATCACCAGGAGTTGGTCCAACTTGATCATTTTTCTTGCTCAGGAAATTTGTACAATGGGCCCAGTTCAGGTTGCTGGGCAGGGACTGATTTCAGGCCACACTAACCATTCCTATGTCCTGTGACATGGAGCTCAGATCCAGGTGGGGACTGCATGTGTACCTTCTGGCCCAGCATAGGTGACCTGGCTCTTGGCAGGGGCTGTTTGGGCTTGCTCACATTGTGGTGCAGCTCTGCCCCTTCCTTCTCTTGGGCACAGCCATTCCAGCCCTTCCTCTCCTGATTCCCTTGTAGTAGGAAGACTGCTTTACTCCACCAGCTTGAGGATCCACCTGTTAGGCCCAAGGAGTCCCTCTGTCTGGTCGGCAATGCTCCTAACAGTGTTTCCTGTGAGTGCCTGGGGCGCAGCTGCAGTGACTCCTGGTCCAGGGATGTCAAAAGGCTGAACTCATTCCAGCTAGCCAACAAACCTGCCTCAACGAGGAACCAGTTTCTCCACAGAAAACATCAATCCCAACGGAGTTGTGTGCACATGAAGATTCAGGCAGGGAGAAAGCAGCCCCTGTCCTCCAGGGCCTCCATCCTGAGAGTGGAGTCTTCCAGCAGCTTGCATACAGCAGCTCCCAGGTCAAAGGCAGGTAGCTTCCAGGCAGTCAATTAAGTAAATGAATTATTTGGCCATCGAAAAAAAGGAAGGCAGGGCGCCGAGAGGAGAAGAGATAGGGGCAAAGCAGGCAGAGAGAGGGTGGAGTGGCAGACAGCATGCTGGCCGAGGACCCTCTGCGCCTTTGCTTTGCTGTGTGGCCTTGGGCCAACTCACCCCTTTGCTGGACTCTCGGCCTGCAGTTCTCAGCTCAGTTCAGCTCTTAGGGGTCTATGAACATATATGTCATGGCATGCTGCAAACCAGCTTAGCCTGACCCTGCTTACCAAATGGCTCACCCCAAAAACCATGCGGCTTCCCTGGACTGCAGATGGACGTGCAGCTCAACACAGGGGGAGCCTAAAATAAACAGATCACTTGGCTGAGGGAACAAAGATAATTCCTTTTTAACGAGTTGGACTCAAATAAAAACATATGGCGTCTGGACAGCCTCACCTAAGAGGTGCTGGACCACTAACACTATGATAAATACTGTGTCTTTTTTCTTTCAATATATATATTTTTATATATAATCTCATTTTTTTACTTATGAAAATAATAAGCTATCACCAATTTGGATAGGCTTCCTTACTAAATTAGCAGAAACCAGCTCAGCACAAACTCTCCAGAGATAAATACTGGTGGCTCAGTCAGGAGGGAAAAAAAAAAAAAGATTAAAAAACCCCCAACCCCTCCTCAAAACAAAACCCTCTTTCCAAGTAAAGGCGCTACACAACAGTAACCAGCCAATACTATGTCATGGGCTGCTGCATGTGAAAGGATTGGGGGAAAAGAAATAGAGTGGGGAAAAGAAAGGAAGAAAGAGGAGCAGAGGAGAAAAGAGGCTGGGAGGGGGAAAGGAGAGAAAGGTAGAAGGAAAAGGCCAGGCAGGAGGAGTGGACTCTGCCCATGGCTTCCAGGTCCCTGTGCCAGGTGCCTATGGAGGGCAGGGCTGCTCCAGTCCTGGGGCCCATGGAAGGCCAGGTGGGGCAGCCAGCACGGTCAGCTAGTGCAAGTAGTCGTCGACTCTGGCAAAGGAGCAAGATCCCAGGCCTGCTCGGGCCATAAGCCGTAGACATTCAGATGCTTGGCCCAGGGCGAGCATCAGAGGGGGCTGCTTTGGCAGATTCTGAGACTCTGTAGGGAGAGACAAGGCTGTCATGCCATGCTCAGTGCTTTGGCATAGGTCAAATTTCCCTTAGGGGTGGAAAATGGAGGGAATGGACTCTCTTGGGTTACAGTGTTTAGTCTTGGTGGATGTCGCAGCCACCAGGCCACAGCCCTTGCAGTTATGCCAGAAACCCAAGGACATTGGCTTTCTTCACAGCAGTTGGGCTAGCCCAAGTTCATGGTCATGGCCCAAAACCTGACATGCTCCAGCAGCCAACTTAGGTGAGCAGAGGGAGGTCAGGGTTTAGGTTCAGCCCCTGGCATCCAGTAGTCTTATGAGTCAGCAGACAAAAACTGTGCAGAACTTGCTGCTCTGACTGGCCCAACACCAGCTCTCCTTAGGGAGAGCACAGAGGGGACCTCCTCAGGCACTCATGGACCCACCCTCAGTTTGGTTAGAGCCACTCACCTAAAATGGCGCTGTTGAGGGCAGCACACACAGGTTCCCTCTGGATGGGGTCAAGCTGCTGGCCAACTGGGCAATTCCAGGGGTCTGAGTACGCCAGGAGGCTGAAGGCATCCTACGGGACAAGGCACTTTTGAGAGGACTATAGCACACTTGTCCACATGGCTCCAGAAATCACAGGACCCTGTGTCGCGCACACCAGAGCTCAACATACTTGGAAAGTGGGATCAGGCAAGGACGTGTCCACTCTAGGATGTGGAGAAGGCAGTCTCCTCGAGGGAGCTACTTCCCACAATTAGAAACCTCTACTTGTTCTTGCTGTCCCTTGGACCAACCCAGAGCCACCCTACTCCCAGCACCATGGGGCCCTGTTCTGTGGAAGAACTTGACTTGTCCCATACCTGTAGCATCTCTTTGTGTGCCAAATTCTTGCCATATTCCCGGCCCAGCTGCTCACTCAGAGCCTGCAACTCTCGGCCAAACAGGATAATCTTTTCTGTGGCAGCCTGGTTGCCCCCACACAGTTGCCTCCGTGGATGGCCATCATCTGCACCCAGAGTGCAGCAAAGAACATGTCAGGAGGGAGAAGAGAAGGATAAGAAGGGCAGGACCAGGGTGGAATGGGCAGGACCTAGGTGAGCTGCAACTTTTGCTAGGAGGACCTGGTTGAGCAGCATAATGGGACTGCTCTCAGTATCTTTCCTCCTCACACACAGGGATCAAGCAGGGCTCACAAGTTCCCTTATCAAGAGCGTGCACAGGAGCATGGCATTCCTAAGAGTGCCCATACTCTCAAACTCTCTCTAGGCCCCAGTGTAAGGACAGGAGCCCTGGCAGGACACCTATGCTTTCCTACTTATTTGGAGTTTCCTCAAGGACACATCCCCCAGCTGGCTGAGGAAGCCATGGGCCCTGGTTAGAGCTTCTCAAATTGCCACAGCATGCCCATCCTAGCTCCCTCCCAGGGGAAACAGGGCATCAAGACCCAACAGGGCCTTGATGCTGGGTTACACTAGGGCACAGCCCTCACCCATGCTGGATTCATCTGTCTGCAGGTCTTCATGCTTGTAGGCACCATTGACAATGCGCGTGGCCATGCTTTCCAGCACACCATTGGGATAATGCTCTGCCTCCATCTCCATCTCACTGTCGCTGTGGAGAAGGATTAAGGTAGGAGTTGGCCAAGGAGCCAATAATCAAGTTTTACAAAGTGTTCTGTAAACCAAAGGTCTCCGGAAACATGAAGGGACAGCCCAAGATTCCCAGGCTCCAACACCTGGCCCTGTGTGACACTAGCTACATACAAAGGCCAGCCTTCTGATTCCCACTCTTGTCCTGGGATGGCCTCCACACTTCTCCTCTCCCTGTCCCTCCTCTGAGTTGACACCTGTCGTCTACAATCTCCCTCATCTCGTGTCTGGGTCCCACGGTCCTCAGTGGGTACCCCTCTGGTCCTGACTGGGAGCCCAACTGGGTCAGCCTTGAGACATGCCTGGGGATCACTGACAGCTATTTGGGACTGCAGCCTCCAGCCTAGACACCTGCCCACCCAAACTGGCCTCCCACAGCCCAATACAGAATAAAGTTTCTTCATTATAGACCCTGGGAGTTCTGACAGACCCAGCCTGTTCAAAAATGGAGGCCTCCTTGGAAGATATCATGTTCTGTTCTGTTCTGTTTAATTTGTTCATTTGAAAGGCAGAAGGGAGGGACTAAGAGAGAGACAGGGATGGAGGAAGTGAGAAGGAGTGAGAAAAAGAACAAGAGACAGAGATTCTTCCATTCCATGGTTTGCCTGCAAAGAGCAGAGCTAGGCCAGGCTGAAGCCAGAATCCAGAAACTCTTTTGAGTTTTCCATGTGAGTGGCAGGGACTCAAGAACTTGAAGTATCCTTTGATGCATTTCCAAGTACATTAGCAGAAGATAAATTGTAAGTGGAACAGCCAGAACTTGAACCACAACTCTGATATAACATGCTGGCGTCTCCAGTGGCAGCTTACCTAACTGTACTACAATGCCCACCCCAGGGAGGTGCCACATTTTCAGCCTGGCAGTACTAACAACCCTGGAAAAAGTCAAGGTCAAGGGAAGTGGCAGCTAAATCTGAGTAGGGATGGAAGCCTGAGCCAATGCTTGTAGTCCAGGCACAGGCCTGAGAGGGGGCAGGGGAATAAAGGGCAGAGGACAGCTTCAAACAACAAACTAATGAGGGCCTGGTTGCTGCAGGACAAAGTCAAGCAGGACAGTCACCTGGTCTCCTGGTTACTGGTACTGCTGTGGGGCTGGGACTTGGTGGAGTCTGTTGAGTTGGACTCGGAGTAATTGACAGAGGATGGGGATGAGGAAGATGAGGACGAGGAAGATGAGGACGAGGAGCTGGGTGCAGGATATTTACTGTGATTCTGTTTGCTCTTGGTGGATGCGATGCCATTGCTGCAGCTGGGACTGTCTGCTCCTAGAAGCCGGGAACAACCAGAAGAGGGCAACTTGCCATCAAGTGAGGTCTAGGGAATAACCCCAGCAATCCCATTTCCATTCCCCCAAATCTGGCAGTGGGCCCTCAGACAGGCTCAGGTGGGCACAAGGGATAGCTTTTTTTCGTCCCAGAGCCCTGTGGAGAGTGGCTGACCTGTGTTGTGCATGTGGGAACTACTGGGGCCATGGCGGGGGCTGAGGCTGGGGGAGTCAGGGTAGCTGTCCTGGGACTTGGGGCTTCGGGAGCACAAGCTGCGGACCTCACTGTCGGTCCCATTCACCATCTCCACAAACTGTCGGCACCTGCAGAGGGAGCAGAGCAACAATGCTCTAGGCTCGGCCCGGGCTATCTGGCCCCACCACCATCTGAAATTCTACCAAGGCTGGTAGTACCAAATACTTACTTGAGCATGAAGAGCAGGTTGGGATTGTGCTCCAGAAGCCCTGGGTAGAAGTGCTGGGTGGTTTCAATGGCCTCACCCACGCGGCCCTCCAACACCAGCCTCTGGATCTCTGGAAAGCAAGAATATGGCAGTGAGAAGGCTGCAGATGCTGCTCACAGCCACATGCCTTGAAGCAGGGGCCAGCCAAGAGACAGATGGGCTGCCTCAGAGCATCTGTCCAGCTGGAGATAATCACAGAAGAAATTAAAGGGAAAGCCTGACCATCTAGCCCTGTGACCCATCTGTTTTTGGCCAAATATCCATAGTCCTTAAGAATAAGACTGGCAGAGAAGGGGAACTTCTATCCCAGCAATGGGAGGGTAGGCTCAAGGCCGGCAGTGATGGGATGCAGGTCACCAAGGCCCTTGGGAGGGATGGCTATAGAGTGATCCAGAAATAGGCACCCAGGCAGCTGGTGGATTGAGGGATTCCTCTTCAGACAGACTTCTCTTCCTAGGCCTCACAGGGAGGTGGCAACAGGAACACACTACTGTCTGGGCAGAGGCCCACATCTTGGCAATCTTCAGCAGCTGTAGCATGTTCCCTTGCTGGGAGAGAGGTCATCCTCCTTGCACTGGCACCTACGATGTGGACATCACTCCGGTCATCAGCATCTTGTGGTTGCTTGCTTCCTCTTGTCCTGGGGCCTGGTGCATCTTGCTGGGAGAGAGAGTCTTGCATGTGAGGTTCTCTCATTTGCAGATCCCAACTCTGGGATCCCTGTCGGTGTGTGTAGCTGGACACAGTTTCTCTGGGAGACACAGACACATGCACATACACAAAGACACCAGCTCAGAGATGCAAGCAGGCACACACAAACACACATGTCCACACACACACTTGCCTATACTCTTCTAGCTCCCTTTTGGGATCTTCTCTTTTTACCCAACACCCTTCTGCCACGAAAGAACCCAAACACAGAACACAGAGGCTATCACAGACTCTGGGTAGGAGAGCTTCCTAGGCTGAGTACAAAGGACAAGATTAGGGTTGGGGAACAGAGAGAGAAGGACTACCATACAGCTGCTAAGCATGAGCTTTGTCTTGTCTGACCACTTCAGGCCTCAGTCTGGCAGAACTACTAAGAGTGAGTCAACAGTGGGAAAGGTAGGTATTTTCTATCAAGAGGAACATGAACAGTAGGTTGAATGGGATTCAGGGAGGAGGACATAAGGCACGGAGTATGATCTAGCCACACCAGGGCCTGGCCTTCAGCAGCTGTATGGGGCAGGATGCTCTGAGATGTTCCCAGGCTGCCAACTGTCCACCTGGGCAACGAGAGAGAGCAATGCAACTAGGGCTGGCTCAATGAGTCTGTAAAAGCTTATCCAGGCCTGGCATGAGCCATAGAGCAGAGTTAGGAACGGGTAAGGAAGGGAAAAGGGAAAAGAGAATAAACCTTACTTTGTCTGTTCTTTATGGACGCCTGTTCTTCCTGAATCGGGGTTTCAGTCATTCGTGCAAAAGCTGTGGCTGTAGCACAATAGCCATGATGCACCAGGTAAGATGAGACCATGCTAGAAGAAAGGAAGAACTTAAGGTGACACTCAAGAACTGCACTCACTGCTCACTCTGACTACCTAGTGGGACAGCCTACCTCCCCATGGGTTGATCCCAAACACAGTTTGGAGGTGTAACCTGCACAGGATGAGAATAAAGGAGCTGCATCAAAACAATGCTTCTCATGCTGATGCCCTCAGGCTGGGGCTTAGCTGGTCCCCAAAGCTGTCCCACAGCCTGGAGAAGCAGCTGCAGTTTCTCTGACAGGCTGTTCACAAGCTCTCAGAAGCAGCTGTCTCCTTGTGAACTGCAGAAGCCCAGAGATGGCTGATGGGCTTTTCAGCCAACAGAAGGAAAGGGTGGCAGCCTCCCAAACCTTCTGGAAATGCAGCAACAGCTCCGCTGGCTGCCCTGGGCATTGGTCCGAGGTGTGCCCACATCCCTTGGAGCGTACTCCATGACCTATCACAAATCAGGGCAGAGCAGCTATGATATCAGGCTGATATTGCCAGGAAGAAACAGGCACAACTAGAAGAACCAGTGGAAAAACTACCTTTGGGAAACAGCCTGGAGAAGCCTGGTGCCCTGTGGCCTATGTGTGCGCACACACACATATACACATGTGTACATGTGTATACAGGGTAAGCTTTGTATGTAATGTGTACAATAAAGAATATCTGATGTCAGTATTTTAACTGCCAAACATGGAAGGCACAGGAGTCCCAGTGTGTCCCACCACATTTGAAGGGCAAGTGAGATGATACACACAAAGTATAGGGGACAAAGAAATTAAGAAATAAAACTTTTCATTGCAGAATTAGGTATTAAAAACATGAAGGCAAAAATTTTTGACACAACTTGGTTCAGATGAACTCCTGTGTCACATGTCATTAAAATGCATAGTGTCTGTGACTCACTTTCACTCTTTTTTTTTAAAAGGATTTACTGGACCAGCATGGTAGCCTAGTGGCTAAGGTCCTCGCCTTGCACACACTGGGATCCCATATGGGTGCTGGTTTGTACCCTGTTCCACTCCCCTTCCAGCTCTCTGCTTGTGGACTGGGAAGGCAGTCGAGGACAGCCCAAAGCCTTGGGATCCTGTACCCACGTAGGAGACCCAAAAGAAGCTTCTGACTCCTGGCTTTGGATCAGCTCAGCTCTGGCCACTGTGGCCTCTTGGGGAGTGAACCAGTGGATGAAAGATCTTTCTCTGTCTCTCCTTCTCTCTGTAAATCTGACCTACCAATAATAAATAACTAAATCTTTTTTTTAAAAGGATTTACTTATTTTATTTGCAAGACAAAGAGCGATTCCATCCACAGGTCTATTCCCCAAATGGCAACAAGGACCAGGGATGGGCAAGGTCAAAGTCAAGAGCCTCTTCCAGGTCTCCCACATGGGTGGCAGAGGTTCCGGCACTTGGATGCAAGTAGAATAGCTGAGTTTTGATCATGCATCCACATGGGATGCCAGCACTCCAGATGGCAACTTAACTAGCTATGCCACAATACCAGCCCCAATTTTCACTTTTTAAAAATACTTTTACTTTATTTTATTTTTATTGGAAACTCATATTTATAGAGAGAAGGACAGACAGAGAGGAAAAATCTTCCATCCACTGGTTCATTCCCCAAGTGAATGCAACAGCCAAAGCTGAGCCAATCCAAAGACAGGAGCAAGAAGCCTCTTCCAGGTCTCCCACATGGGTGCAGGGTCCCAAGGCTTTGGGCTGTCCTCTACTGCTTGCCCAAGCCACAAGCAGAGATCTGGATGGGAAGTGGAGCAGCCAGGATTAGAACCATGCCCATATGTGATCACAGCAGATGTAAGGCAGGGACTTTAACCACTAGGCTACTGTGCCAGGGCCCATTAATTTCACTTCTTTCAAGGATACCACTTGTATCATACAGTGGATATTCTGACTTGTTCTACATATAGGTTCTCAATGTTGCCTGTCTTCTGTGGTATTCCTGCTAAGTAGTTTGCTGTTAAAATGAAGCAAATTAAGGGCCGATGCTATGGCTCAACTGGCTAATCTTCTACTTCCAAGCACCAGGATCCTATATAGGTTTGTGTCCCAGGTGCTTCACTTCTCATCCAGCTTCCTCCTTGGAAGATCTTTCTTTGTCTCTCCTTCTCTTTGTAAGTTTGCCTTTATATGTAGCTTATCATATGCCAATCTTTTCTTTGAAAAATATTTATTTATTTGGAAAACAGAAAGAGGAAATCTATACGCTGGTTCACTCCCCAAATGCCCATACTGCCACAGTTGAGCTGGTCCAATGCCAAGAGACAGAAGTTTCTGGGTTTCTCAACATACTCATGGGGGCACAAAGATTTGGGTCCTCCTCCACTGCTTTCCCCAAGTCACCAGCAGGGAGCTGGATGGGAAGTGAAACAGCTGGGACTTCAATCAGTGCCCATATGGGATGTTGGTGTTGAAGGCAGAGGCTTTACCAGCTATTCCACAGCACCGTACCCTGAAATAATCTTAAACATGAAAAATTCTCTAGGGGACAGCATTGCAGTACAATAGAGTAAGCTGCAGCTTGAAATACCCATATGTCATATTTAAGTGCCAGTTCAAGTCCTGGCTGCTCCATATCCAATCCAATTTCTTGCTAATGTGTACAGCAAGACACTTGGACCCCTGTCACCCATGAAGGAAGACTGGAGATCCTGGTTCCTGGCTTTGGCTTGGTCAAGACCCAGCTGCTGTGGCCATGTGAAGAATTAATCAGCACATGGAAGATTTCTGCTTTCCCACGCCTCCCATGTAGCTCTGTCTTTCAAATGGAAGCAGCTTGCTTCTTCATTCCTTTCTCATGGTGAGCAGACCTGACTCTTCTTTGCCATGCATTTTCACATGACCTTCAGAATCAAGAGATTCCTAGCCAAAAGACAAAAATAAAATAGTGCCATTCCTCCTTGGACGTTTGGATGAAAGGTGGCAATAAAAACAGCTCCAACTCCAAAAGAAGACAATGGGAAAGAACCAAGATGGGTCTATAAAGAATTGTATTTGAAATGAGTGGCACACATATTTATCTTATATTAAGATCACTATATTCGAGTCCAGCACGATAGCATAGCAGCTAAAGTCCTTGCCTTGAATGTGCTGGGATCCCATATAGGCACTGACTGGTTCTAGTACTAGCAGCCCCACTTCCCATCCAGCTCCCTGCTTGTGGCCTGGGAAAGCAGTCGAGGACAGCCTAAGTCTTTGGGACCCTGCACCCATGTGGGAGACCCAGAAGAGGCTCCTGGCTTCGGACTGGCTCAGCTCCAGCCATTGTGGCTGCTTGGAGAGTGAACCAACGGACGGAAGATCTTCCTCTCTGTCTCACCTCCTTTCTGTATATATGATTTTCCATTAAAAATAAATAAATCTTGGGCCCGGCGTGGTGGTGCAGTGGTTAAAGTCCTCGCCTTGCACGCCTGGGATCCCATATGGGTGCCGGTTCTAATCCCGGTAGCCCCGCTTCCCTTCCAGCTCCCTGCCTGTGGCCCGGGAAGGCAGTTGAGGACGGCCCAAAGCTTTGGGACCCTGCACCCACGTGGGAGACCCGGAAGAGGCTCCTGGCTTCGGATCGGCATAGCATCGGCTGCTCACTTGGGGAGTGAATCATCGGACGGAAGATCTTCCTCTCTGTCTCTCCTCTCTGTATATCCGCCTTTCCAATAAAAAAATAATAAAAATAAATCTTCAAAAAAAAATAAATAAATCTTTAAAAAAAAATCACTATATTCTTAACTATATCAAGCTGAAGACATCACCATAGTCTAGACAGCCAGACACGTTTGACTAGGGCTCTGACTAGTGGGTTGGTTCAGTAATAAATACGTGCGGTCTTTTGGAAAAGAAACAAACAAAACAAAACAAAACAAAAATGAATGACATAGCATTCTAAAAAACAGAAGAGAAAGAAAATTCTTTAAGTGCAAAAGGCTTCCTATACAAACAAAAAGAGGAAATAACCTGAATTCCCCATCACAAGAAGGCAGCCAAAGTGTCTATGGACAGTCTATCTCCCATATTCATAGTTACACAGGACTATGGAACACAAACTAAATGCAGGCCTTAAGAACTAACTACAAATGAACACATATAAGCACATGGATATACACATGTAAACAAAGCACCCATGTGCTGATACAAGGCCCTGAACACTGGCAGCATCTATCCCTTCCCATGTGACTCTTTTGCCCATCCCTGTAAGCCTGCTGGGAAGTGGCCCTGTTTTAACTCTGAGAAAGCACACTTTACTTACCTGCTCAAGGGCCTGGAAACAAGAGGAGGCAATACTATTCTTCCTGCAGAGGGTCTGACCACCTCGCTCCTGACTCAGTTTCCCTTGGAACCTGCCTTGAGACCAATCCCTCACGAAAAGGAGTCTGCACAAAGAACCCAGCATGTACTTTAACCCCACCCAAAGGCTCCTGGCCATCGGTGCTCAGGGTTGACAGTAACCCAGTTCTTCCTCTATAGCCATCTGCCCATCCTCTGGAGCCAATTCAATGCCCAGCAGAGCAGATACTGGTAACTGTCTTAATAAACCTCCTGCTAGCAAGCTAGCCAAGACCCAAACCTGCCTCCCTTGGGAATCTGAGCAACCCCCACTTCTAGGAAAGCCTGGGAGCTGATGATGAGTCAAGCAGCCATCAAGGCTAGTCCTAGGGAGGAAGCTTCCCAGCACCACTGCCACAGACACATGGGACCTGGCTACATGCTGAGCCCCAGGAGGTGACCTCAGGCCACAGTCATGGCAGGATGGATGGACACTTCCTATGGTAGAAAGAAGTCCACAGAAGAAGCAGCCATGGGGTATCCCAGCACATTCTCTGCAAAATGACCCAGGGAAGAAAAAAAGCCTTCAGTAACTGGCTAAGAGGCAAGAGGTTTTCAGCGGGAACAGCTGGGAAGAAGTTAGCGAGAACTGTCCAGGGGATGACCGGGGTGCAGAGCAGTGGGTAGACTCCCTCTGGGAGTGCTTCCCAGAAGGGGATTCCCAGCTGGAATCCAATCCATAAGAGCAGCTGGCAGCCTGCAGGGGTGTATGGAGAGTGAGGTCCCTGGGAAGAGCTGGGGCACGGCACTCACTTCTGCAGTACCGCCTGCCACTCGCCAAGCCGGGCGCTGATAGGGAAGCAGTGGACAGTGCCCTGGACCTTGGCACGCCACTCTCGCATGTAGTCCTCAATGTCAAACAGGAAGGGCTGCTGCCCAAAGTTGGCGTCCACAATCTCCCCAGGTGTCTGCAGGCCTACGGTGGGGTAGAGGTTGGCCTGAGGAGGAGAATGAAATGTCAGTCAAGGCCTGAAGCAGCGGACAGCAGGGCCTCACCTCACCTCCCTAGCTCCTGCGAGCCAAAGCTAGGGCTGAGAGAGGCACAGCAATGCAGGAGGTGGTGGAGAAAGCTGAGTTTGGCCCATCCCCCCGCCAGAGATGCTAACCCGGAACTTGTGGGACAAAGCTGAAGCAAGCACAGCTCAGTGTGGAGAGTCTCCTGCCCTGCATCAGAGGCTGGTGGGGTCTAAGTGCCCAGCCTCCCTTCTGCAATTCGGTCAGGACACACAGAGGTGGGCTGGGCACTATAACCCTGTGGGCATGCCCATGGAGGTCAACTGTGGGGGCAGATAATGGCTCCTCTTGAAAAGATGCAGGGCCAAGGATCCCTTTGCCACAAGATAGAGCTACCTATGGCAGCAGGAAGGGATAAGGTGACCCAGGAAAGCAGCAGGCAGAGGAGCTTGGCAAAGGAATTAAGTGGGTTGAACACCCTGACTCTGAACAAGCAGGACAGGCTGTTCCACTTTCTGTCCCAGGCTCTTCCAAAGGAGGTCTTCATGGCCAGTGAGGCAGGGGGCCTCCTGCATGACCAACTGCTGCCATCCTCTGTATCACAGACAAGGCCATCCCTGCCAACAACTTTTCCTGATCCTCACTGCCCACAGGGACACCTCCATTCTTTCTTGCATGTGGTGGGACACTGTCCACACATATACCTGGTCACTTTATGTCATGTCTCCCAACCAGGCTGTTCTCCAGCCAGGGCCGACTCTCCCAAGGCTCTACCCCAACCCTTCTCTGAGGCCTCCAGCAAGAAGCAAAGGATTCTGATCCTTTAGGAGGTTCACACAGGACCCTAGCACTGTAGTTTGGGCTTCAGGGGCCCCTCAGAACACCAGGGCATTTTCCTAGGGCAATCCAGGAGGGTCCAAAATCCTAAAGCAGCCACCAGAGTAGGCATACCTTCCTTCCAGAACCAGTCACAGCAGTGTAAAGCCAGGCTCCCAGCATTCTGGGTGCAGGCCTCTGTGTGCTAAAGCCTGTGATGGCTCATGATAAGAAAGGCTGGGGTACATAAGATGAAGATGAGCCCTAACTGAGCCCAAAGCAAACTCCATCCTTTTCCAAGAAGAGAAAACTGCACAAAGCTTATTTCTCTGGCATGGGGTACCCTGAGTGGCAGCAGACTGGGTCCCTGAAGGCATAGAGCAGCTTAGCCATGGAGCTACCCTCTTTACACAACTGCCCAGCCCCCCACCACTGCCATTGGAAATGCCACAAATTGTGTCACCTGCTAAGAGTCGTGGAAGAAGACCAGGCCTCGCTGCTGGAGAGAGAGGAGACCAGCAGGTATCCCCTAGTGGCACCCCCAAGCTGACAGCACAGCACACATCCCTGGTTGGGGAGAGGGCCAGACTCTACACCCTGCCCGTGCAGGGACCACCACGCCCCACCCCAGGCAGATCCCAACAGCCCAGGAGGGGGAAACCCCAAAGGAAGTACTCACCGGGAGGTCTGTGAAGGCTATACCTGTGGGGGAAAAGGAACAGTCATCAGACCAAAGATAGGACCAGCCCCATGTTTCCTGTGGAGGTAGTAGCCAAGCACATGATAGGGCCTAGTTTAGACCCTGGCTTTCCCTCTACTGGATGGCCTGGCTAGCAGTGAAATCAGATATTCAGGAATTTGTCCAGGGCTCTTCCATCCTTTCAAGTTAATTGTCTTTCTCAGGGACAGATAGCCTGTTGATCTATATTCCAAGGCCATTCAGATCTGATCTTCCTGTGGTTCAGCTAGTAGTCAAGGGAATTAGTGTGTGCCAGAAACTGAGTTGATCTCACACCAACTCTGAATAGGTTTTCTTATCCCACTTCACAGATGATGAGAGTAGACTTGTTCTGAGTCTCTCAGAGGCTCCTAGTTGGCAAAGTTCATGCCCCCTCCAAACCTTCCTGCCTTGAGAAGGGGGTGGAGGCTGGCACTGCAGCATAGCAGGTAAAGCTGATGCCTATGATGCTGACATCTCATATGGGCACTGGTTCATGTCCTGCCTGTTCTAGTTCCAATCCAGATCCTTGCCAATGTCTTGGGAAAGCCAGGGAGGACAGCCAAAATGATTAGGCCCTGTTATCCATCTGCAGATGGGATGGAGCCCCTGGCTTCAGCATGGCCCAGCACTAGCTATTGCAGCTATCTGGGAGTAAGCTAGCCGATGAAAAAATCTCTTTCCGTAACTCTTTCAAATAAATATTAGAAGAGGCTGTATCTCCAGAGACCTCAGCCCTGAACTTGAAGTGAGACTGGAGGGAAACAAGACCCTCAGTACTGTAAGTGGCCTCTGTATAACTACCAGACACCCAAGCTCTAAGATGAAGAAAATGGGCCAGTAGAGATCTAAGGCCTCAGTCCTCCCAATTTATTAGACAGAGAATCATAAGAGCTGCTGAAATTAGGGCTAGATATTTCGTTTGTTTGTTTCTTTTCCCTAAGATTTATTTATATTTTTGGCTGTCAGAGTTGACCAAGACTCTTTTTTTTAACTTCAAACAATGCTGTAATAAATATCTTTGTAAATCAAAAACAAAACCACTGTATTTAATTCAGATTCCTTCCACTGCACAATTTATCACAGATATCTTTCTAGAAAAATGCACATATGTGACTTTTTTTAAAAAGATCTATTTTTACTGCAAAGTCAGATATAAAGAGAGAAGAGACAGAGAGGAAGATTTTCCATCCTACAATTCACTCCCCAAGCAAACGCAATGGTTGGAGCTGAGCTGATCCGAAGCCTGAATCCAGGAGCCTCTTCCAGGTCTCCTGTGCAGGTGCAGGGTCCCAAGGAGTTGGGCTATCCTTGACTGCTTTCCCAGGCCACAAGTAGGGAGCTGGATGGGAAGCGGGGCCGCTAGGACTAGAACCAGTGCCCACATGGGATCCCAGCATGTTCAAGGCCAGGACTCTAGCTGCTAGGCTACCATGCCAGGCTTATGACTTACTTTTTTATACTTATATTCTAGTCCTTCCAATGCATACATTGTTTACTCAGTCAGTCACAAATTTTTTTTACAAATTCAGATCATTCTTCCCAGGATTCCTCTCTCAACCCCTTTCAAACAATGCTGCAATAAAGGTCTTTGTTTAAAAAAAAAAAGAAGAAGAAGAAGAAGAAGTCTTTCATCTGCTGGTTCACTCCCCAGATGGCTCCACAGATCTATATCCAGAAATTGTTGAGATGCTGTTCATTCCTGGGCTCAAGGAAAGGGCCTGAACATCCAGGGAAAGGGAAAGTACAGGATCCATTAGTTATTTGCAGTGTGACCTTTTACAAGTTACCCAACCTCTTTGAGGCCATCTGGGAAAAAGAAAAATAAATAAAAAAGGTAATATCAACCCCTCAACCCAAAGAAGGAGAAAATGAGGCATTCTCTAAAAGCTAACTCAGAAACTGAGTTCTAGGCACAGGCTGCCTGTAACTGGTCCCCAGGGTGAGGGAGGGGAGGATCTAACCACAACGGTCTGGTTTTGCCTCACAATTAGCACCCAGGATGGATGAGGCCTGGAGATGCTTCCAAGGGAATGAAGAAGTTACTCCACCTCCTCCCTAAGCCTCTGCAAGGCCACAGGGACAAAATTTGAGTAGGTCCTTGGGATTGAGGGCTAAGCAAAACTCCAGGATGGAAATAGGATAGCCAAACTTGTTGACAAGAAGTATCTCAAACTAAATAGACATGGCCAGGAGTTACTGAAATTAAGAATGTGAGGCCTGGGAGACCCACAGAGCTGTGTAAAGATGACTCAGCAAGGAAATCCAGCCCTTGCAGAGAAGACTAGCCTCCCATCTTCTTTCACTTGCTCTTTCCTCCTACCAAGTATCTACTAAGGCCTTCCAGTAGCCAAGCCTTCCTTCAAAGTGCACTGAGCAGCAGCAAGAAAGATGGCAGGCGACTAACTACACAGATGACTGATGGCACACGGGGATGGTGCTGTGACAGACATCCTTCTGTTTCTCCAAAGAGGAAGGATGCATATCAGTGAAAGGAAATGGCGTGCTATACAGCAGTTGAGATGCTGCCCAGGTTGCCCATATCCACACTGTAGCACCTGGATTCGAGTCCCAATTCTATTCCTCACTCTGGATGCCTGTTAATGTGCATACTAGCAATGCGAAGGTGATGGCTCTAGGTGGGTTTCTGTTGCCATGTGAGAGATGCAGACTGAGTTCCCAGCTCGTGGCTTTGGCCTGGGTCAGCCCATGAGGCAGTGAGTGAACCAGTGGATGAAAGATTTCTGTCTTTCAGATGAATAAAATAGAAGTTAAAGAAAAAAAAACAGGAATCAGGGACCTTAGAGGATTCACTAGGCAGTCTCTCATTCCAGTTTCACTGTCTTTCCACTGTAGTTTGTGATCCACAAAAAAGATAGGCCAAATCCACTTTTTAGTAAGTTGTAGATAAGATGGAACCCTGAGTTTCAGTGATTTTTAAAAGGCTGGAACTCCCTGGGCCAGCTCAACTGAACACTGAAGGGCTCATATTTCAGTCTTGTCTTCTTCCAATTCACTTCATCAATGTCGTCATACAAACAGACATTAGTGTTTCCATCCAATTTCAGGTTAGTGCTATATACCATAAAAAAGGATGCTAAATATTTGGGATAAAATAAGCAAGACCACAGAAGACTAGACAAGCTAAAAAGAATCACACAATTTATTCTTAAATGAAATTTAATTACAAGGTCTTGCATGAATTACATGATTTGGGCCAGTGTTGCGGTATAACACTTAAAGCTGTTGCCTGCAATGTTGGCATTCCATATGAACACCAGTTCATGACCTGACTACTCCTTTTCTCATCCAGCTTCCTGCTAATGGTCGGGAAAAAGCAGTAAAAATTGGTCCAAGTGCTTGGGACCCTGCAGACATGTGGGAGACTAGGATGAAGTTCCTGGCTCCTGGCTTCCACCTGGTCTAGCCATGACTGTAGTGCACATTTGGGGAGTGAACCAGTGGATTGAAGATCTCTGTTTGTGTCTCTGCCTAGCTTCCTGTAACTCTTTCAAATAAATAAGTCCTTTAAAAAAAAAAAAAGACCCACTGGGAGGTGAATTTTTCAAAAATAGTCTGTGGGTTTGGACTGACATTAATGCGGCCAGGAGCTTCCTGTAGAGCTGGGGACCTAACTGACAAAGAGTTCACAGCACACAGCTAGGGCCCAGAGAAGGGAAGTGCAGGTACGAAGCGACAGTCAAGTTTGCTCTATACCTAGCATTTCCCAGCAGGTGCTATGGCATGCTCTGAGCAAGAAGTGTACAACCTGCAGAGAGGTGAAGAGGACAGGGAGGACAGGTATCCAAGAGAGGCAAGACTGAGTGTGGTTCCAAAGAAATGAGTATTGGGGGAACAGAGTGAGAACCCACGATGTGGCCCGACACCCTGAGAGCAGAAGAAAGTAACTGGAGTTGGAGAACAGAGGGGGCAGCACTCTTGAGACTCTGGACTTGTCTTCCAGCTGCTGGATGCCCACTTGCTGAATGCCCACCGACACCGGCACTGCAGTGTCTGAGCAATCAATGGTCATAGCCACTCAGCTCCCCAGGCTTTCCTGCCTACTCTGGGCTACGACCTCCATTGACTAACACTGCTTCTGTCACTTGGACAAAGAACCAGGCACACTCCAGTCCCATGCGTTTCCCCTGATTCCATCTCTAGAGAAATCATGGAGGGAATAATGGGAAGTGGCAACAACCCTTCAAAGACCAGTAGATTTTTATTATCTAGAATAGAGATTCTTTTGGAACATTTCTATTTGAAAGGGCAGAGAAAGACTGATCTGTCTCTGTTAGTACAATCCTCAAATGTTCACAAACAGCTGAGGCTGCTGGGAAAGCAATTTGGCTCTCACATGTGGACAGGAGAAATCCAAGTATTTGGGCCATCAGTTGGCTGCCTTCCAGGGTACACATCAGCAGAAACTGAAATACAGAGCAGAGCAAGGATGCATATTCAAGGACTCCAATATGGGATGTGGACATCTCAAGAGGTTTAACTGCCATACCAAATACTGACACCAGCCTTTTTTACTGCCCCTCAAGCCAAGGGAAGCAGGCCTCTTAGGAGTCAGGTTCAAAGTGGAACACTCAGCCTTCTCTCCTGCTAAAATAAAGCATGTGGCAGCCCTGCTGGTAGGATTCTGCCAAGCCTTCTTCTTAACATACCATTCTGGGAGAACTAAGGTGTACCCAAATGAAAAACTTCTACCAACTCACATAGCCAAACCAACACTTAGGTACCACCTTAGGGCCTGGGTAGTCAGATACTGTAATAATCCAGTAGGTAGGGGAAGGCATCAGTTTAGCCATGACCTGCCTCTCTCTCTCTCTCCCTCTCTCTCTCTCGTGCTCTTTCTTTCTCTGAAATTCTAATCCTAAATTTCCTATCCAAAAAAAAAATTTTTTCAGAGACAGTCTCCATCTGCTGATCCATTCCCTAAAGGCAGAGCAACAGAGTGTGTGAGGGGAAAAAAAATAATAAAAAGCGAAAAAACAAAAATATAATAAAAAGCCTGGCATGATGGCTCAGTGGCTAAATTCTCACCTTGTATTTGCCGGGATCCCACATGGGCACTGGTTCATGTCCTGGTTGCTCCACTTCCCATCCAGCTCCCTGCCTGAGAAAGCAGTTGAGGATGCCTCAAAGCCTTGAGCTCGAGTCTACATGGGAGACCCGACAGAAGAAACTCCTGGCTCCTTGCCTCATATCTGTTCAGTTCTGGCCATTTCAGCCACTTGGGGACTGAATCAGCAGATAGAAGATCTTTTTCTCTGTCTCTCCTTCTCTCTGTAAATCTACTCTTCCAATTAAAAATATTAAAATCTTTTTTAAAAAATTTGTTTAATAAATAAAAAATGACAAAAAGAGATCTTGTATCTGCTGATTCAGTCCCCAAATGCTGACAACACCCAGAGTGGGCCATACTGAAGCCAGGATCCCAGAACTCTACCTGGTTCTACCACACAGATAGCAGGAGCTCAAGCCCTTGAGCAATCACCTACTGCCTCTCAGAATGCATTAGCAAGAGGCTGCATGGAAACAAGAGTGACCAGGACTTGAACTGACATTCTGATATGGGATTCTAAATGTCTACACAAGTCCAGGACTGGTTCTCCATGGGATTCTACAGACCTCCCTCATCCACCCAGGACTGTCCATACCCATGGGTCCCTTATGTTGATTAATAGCAAAACTAGTCCAGTCACTTGCCCATTCTTCCTTCTTGCAAATCCACTTCCTTGTCACCAAGCCCTGCCTTGCCAGGCTTGAATGCACTTCTGCATCCATCACCAATGAATCATCTCAGGCCATTTATCTCTTCTTTTGGCCTTTAGTTCAGTCCATCCTCTGTAGGTTCACTGAAGAGCCCTTATCAATGGAACTCCGCCCAACTGCTGCCCATGATCCAGGAACATGTCAGAGGAGCTACAGCTCCATCCAGCTCCAGCCTGTTAACCTGTTGTAGTGGCACAACCTCTTCATTGCTCCATAGCAACCAGCCAAACGATCATCACAAGAGCTGACCAAAGTCTTGGCCAGGTCATACACGTATAAGCTGCCACTGCTGCCACTACAGGCAATCATGTACTTGGACCCCTGAAAATTATTCAATACCACACCTCCCTCCAACAAATGACACAAAGGCCAGGATCACAACTGAGACAACTGCTGTGCTTTTGCCACGCACCCAGGGCTCGTTCAATGCTACTGAAGGGATGCATTAATAAAAATTGCGCCCCCAATACCTAAGAGGCTCCAGCTTCTGAAAGGCTGAAGTACCCCTGAGCTCCTAAGAGGGTTTGTGGCACTGTCTGATTTCTTCCCTCAAGCCATTTGTCAACCAAAGCGGTTCCACAGGGCAGACTCTCCAAGCTCTCTCATGTACATACCAAGGCTATGGCCATTCTTGGTGTAGAAGCAGGTGCCATTGATGAGATTGACACAACAGCCGATCACATCTCCTGTGGTGAACGTGGGACCATAGGGCTGCCCAGTCCCCGAGGAACAGAAAGAGTGCCCATCATCACCATGGTAACCATAGGAATGCTTGTCCCAACCTGTGGGGGAAAAGAGTAGCAACAGATGAACAGAAGTACTTGAGAGAGAAGCCAGTCACAAAAGCCCCCAGGTCTCTGCCCCTCTCCCCAACCCGCCCCCTTCAGTTATTCACGACCTCTCAGAGAACCAGCTGCTGGCAGGGTCTGATTGCAACAAACCCATAGCCTGCCAGTGAGCCCTGACTTGAGCCAAAGCTCTGGTTAGCAGGAACTCCAGCCCATCAAGGACCTGGAGAGAATTCATCACAAGAGAAATCCTGAGAATGAGAGCAGGCTTCATGATGGACTGTTTGGAACGTTTGTAAACTGAGGGATGGTTTACATAGATTATCCTTTTGATCATCTGATTCAAACAAATCTTAGCAAATGTATACAGCTGTGTTATCACCACTATTATAATTACCAGATTACTTTTATTTCTCAAAAAAGCTCCCTCCTGCCTCTTTGCAATCAATCCATCCTCCCAATTCGCAGTCCCTGGCAACACTGATGTGATTTGTTTCTCTGATTTTGCCTTTTCCAGAATGAAAAACCTTGAACTAAGGAGTATCCTGGATCTGGCTTCCTGTTCCTAGTATTTGAGATTAATCCTTGTTAAGAGTTCTGGTAGTCCATTATTATTTAGTGCTGAGCAGTATTCTATCTTACACAACAGTTGGTTCAGTCATTTACTAATACTAATAGCATTTAAGCTACTTCTAACTTTTGGTTATTATAAACAAAGCGAACAAATATCTATATAGAGGTCTTTGTGTAAACATAGATCTTCATTTCTCTTGGGTAAACACTGTGCTCAGAAGTGGTACTGCTGGGTCAAAAGATAAGTGTATGTTTAACTTGATAAGTAACTGTCAGACTGTTTTTTCAAAGTGGTTGTGCTATTTTGCATTCCAATCAACAATGTAGGAGTTTCACATCCTCACCAGTAGTTGATATTCTCAGATACTCAGTGTTTCTTTTTCAGTTTTTATAGTATGCACATGGCAGTTTTAATATCCTTATGGTTATTACTATATTATCACCATCATCACCAAGCCAGAAACAAAGATTTCCCAGCTACCACTGGTTAACTGTACAACTGGTCGGGAATGGCTGATGCTGAGCTGGGGCCAAGCCAGGAGTTGAGAATTCAACTCAACTTTCCCTTGAGAGCAGCCATCACTGTGGGAAGCTGGAGGGAAGAGAGTCCAATCACGAAACTGAACTCTGGAGCTCTGATGGGAGGTACAGGCATCTTAACTGCCAAGTTAAACCTCTGTTTTTCACCGTGGCTTTAATTTGCATTTCCCCAACAACCATTTTTTTCATAAACTTATCTGCCATTTCTTTATCATAAAATCATTGATAGACTAATAAAAATCCCAAAGAATCTGAAAAAGAATTTTCACCATTACCAACTGGTAAGATCAGCAATACCAAGAATATGAAAAATAAAATGCCTGTTTGTTTACATACATACACAAATAATCTTTCATCCACTTAGCAATGTACAAGCCAGGAGTTTTTAGCATATTTATAGAGTTATGCAACCATCATTATGATTTTGGAACACTTTCAAGACCTCAAAAGGAAAGCCTGGCCTAATTCCCTAGCCCCCAAATCAATTATATTTAGATCCAATAGCAAAAATTAGATATCAAATTTTTTAAAATATCACTCATAATAATAGGGCCCGGTGCAGTACCCTAGCAGCTAAACTCCTCACCTTGCATGTGCCAGGATCCCATATTATGGGTGCCAATTTATGTCCTGACTGCTCTACTTCCCATTCAGCTCCTTGCTAGTAGCCTGGGGAAACAGTCGAGGACAGCCCAGGATTTTGGGACCCGGCACCTGCGTCAGAGACCCAGAAGAAGCTCCTGGATTCTGGCTTCTGATTGGCTCAGCTCCAGCCGTTGCGGTGGCTTAGTGAGTGAACCATCAGACGGAAGATCATCCTCTCTGCCTCTCCTCCTCTCTGTATATCTGACTTTCCAATAAAAACAAATAAAATAAGGACTTTTGCCACTAGACTAACTCATGGGGCCCTCAATAATATTTTTCTTGCTTTATCTGAGACAGAGACAGGAGAGAAGGCTGGGGGAGGAGGGATCTAAATCTACAGACTACTGTATATTGGATAGCACATAACCATGTGCGGCTGGTTTTCATCGCTTTGTCATGCCTTGCTGCACTGACCAGGCCCCCTTAATTCAAAGCTGAGCATAAATGATGACACAGAAGTGAGAACTCTGAAACGTACTCTGACTTAACAGAGCAGGGACGAGTGCAGGCGGTCAGGCCAGCTGGGGCACACGGGAAAAGCATGAAGGCAGGCGGGATAGGCGTGATAGGCAAATCTACTCCCAAAGAGCAAATCTACTCCCTCTAGAGCTCCTCAGCAGGCTCTTGGGAACTTCTTCGGCACCTCCCTTCCCCCATGACAGATGGGTGGGGGTAGGAGCTCTCCCAGGGTCAAGGCCATGGCCAGAACGGAACATTCACAGACTACATGTACAGGTCAGACAGGGCACAGGGTGGTGCAAGCTATGAGCCAGGGTCTGGTGGTGAGGACGGACAAGGGAAAGGAAGGGCATGACTAAGGAGGTGGGACATACCAGACCCTGGACCCTAAACTTGGCTGCTTTAGTCCAGTGAGCTCTAGGCCAAGCTGGTCTCGTGATCCCAACACCTGCCCCAAGTCTTACATGTACCCTGTTTTCACATCTTTCAGTCAGGATAACTTTGGGTAAAAAAGGATTCTCCAGAGCCCACCAAGGGGAACAGACCAAAGCTGAACAGCTTTAGGTGATGTGGGTAGGGCACAGAGCCCAGGTAGTCTCCCCATCCCACCAACCCTGGTAACTCCCAACTGCAATTTAAAATTTAGCAAAAGAACTGCTCAGGACTGGCTTCAGGGAGGCAAGGCCTGCCACTACAAGGAGGTTCTGTTCTCACCTTTTCCACTTCCCAGAGGCACAGGAATTGTGCAGCTCATGGGCAGGATTCTGCTCTGAGAACATAACTCCTAAGCTGGGCAGCCCCAGTGATTCAGAGGCCTTTCTTTGCTGGTGGAGATGCCACTCCATTTGCTCTTGTGGGAAAAGCTTTTCTGGGGCACAAAAGTACAGAAGCATACAAGGCAGATGAAGCTATCATAACCAAGGTTCCTTTTCCTTTCTTTTTTAAAGATTTACTAATTTTTGGGCCCGATACAGTAACCTAGCAACTAAAGTCCTTGCCTTGCACACACCAGGATCCTATATGAGTGCCGGTTCTAATCCTGGTGGCTCCACTTCCATCCAGCTCCCTGCTTGTGGCCTGGGAAGGCAGTCATGGATGCCCCAAAGCCTTGGGACCCTGCATCCACACAGGAGACCCGGAAAAGGCTCCACCTCCTGGCTTCAAATCGGCTGATCTCTAACTGTTGAAGCCACTTGGGGAGTGAATCATCAAATGGAAAATCTTCTTCTCTGTTTCTCCTCCTCTCTGTACATTTGACTTTGCAATAAAAAATAAATAAATAGGGCCCAGTGGGGGTAGCAGCTGAAGTCCTCACCTTCATGTGCTGGAATCCCATACGGGTCCAGTTCTAATCCCAGAGGCCCCTCTTCCCATCCAGCTCCCTGCTTGTGGCCTGGGAAAGCAGTTAAGGATGGGCCAGAGCCTTGGGTTCCTGAAGCCACATGGGAAATCCAGAAGAGGCTTCTGGCTCCTGACTCTGGATCAGCTTAGCTCCAACCATTACGGCCACTTGGAAAATGAACCAGTGGATGGAAGATCTTTCTGTCTCTCCTTCTCTGTGTAAATCAACCTTTCCAATAAGAATAAATAAATCTTAAAAAAAGAAAACACTGAAATTTTTTGCTAATTCCCATAGAATTTATCTACCCATACAGATTTAAACAAAAGAAGAAAAATGCACAGAACATGGGGCAGGCTGAATAAAGCATCCAAGGAAGTCTGTGACCTAATCCCCAGAGTCTAGGGAAATGTTACTTTCCACAATGAAAGGGAGTTTTAAAAAGTGGATAAATTAGAACTCTGAAAATTATCTAGGAGATTATCCTGGATTATCTGACAGATGGGCCCAAAGCAATCATAAGGTCATCTTAAAACAGAAGCTGCTACACTGCTGGCTTTGAAGTAGCAGAAGGGCTATAAGTCAAGGCAAGCTGCTTCCAGAAACTGGAAAACACATACATACACACTCAGAAACAGACGATGTCTAAGAATCTCCAGAGAGAACTCAGGCAGGGCCTAGCACAATAGCCTAATGGTTAAATTCTCCCCTTGCATGTGCCGAGATCCCATATGGGCACCAGTTCATATTCTAGATGCTCCAACCAGCTCCCTGCTTGTCACAGGACAAAGCAGTAGAGGACAGCCCAAAGCCTTGGAACTTTAGAGATGTAGAGAAGGGTTTGATCCCATCACATCACAGACACCTGCCAAGCTCTCTTGGAGAAACTTTTGAGGGCTCACAGGAGGACTAAATGAGAATCTGCGTGGCTGGAGCTGGCCAATACCCACCTGTCCCAATCAGCAGCTTGAATATGGCCTGCCAGTGACAGCCACAGACCTGTTCTACTCTGGTTTTTCTCTAGTTTCCTGGGGAGGCAGCACTTGGCACAGTTCAACAGCCATGCTCACTGGCTTTCACACTGGCTCTAGGAGAAAGGTGCTGGGCCATGTTGTCCAAGGTGCTTCCTGAGCAAGGGGTTGCTGTGAAGACAGTTCCTGTGCCATGGTGGGCATCATGGCAGGGCTGCTCTATGATGGGTGTGGGGAGGGGTGTCACTCACACAGAATCACTCTCTCCCAAAAATCTGGCACACAGATACTCTCCCCAGAATGTCAACAAGTAAAAACAGAGTGGTGGGTATTGTGGTGCAGATTAAGCTGTGACTTGGGGCACACTCACACTGAATATAGGAGTGCTGGTTCAAGTCTCAGCTATGCTGGTTTGTTTTGCCTTGTTTTGTTTTTTAAGATTTATTTTGTTTATTCAAAAGGCAGAT